ATATATATATATATATATATATTCTACTCACCCTCTACTGTTCCCTCATCTCATCACTCATTAGGTCATTTTTTTTCTTTCTTTTTTATTCTTCTTATCTCCCCTTGTCTCGGTCCATTCATTTTTTTATGTTGAATTTCCATACTTCTCTTCTTTTTTACAGAGAAGGAATAACAATAATCACATATAGAAATAGATAAAATAAAGTAAAAAAAAAACAAGCAAAAAAACTTATATCCCAGTCAAGTGGAAACCCTCCATGATTTTATAACACATGAACGACAAAAAAAAAAACTTATTTTTGCTCGACATAAGGTATAACACCACTGGGTATTTTTTTTTTTAACACAGACCGGTATACATTATATATATATATATATATATATATATATATATATATATATATATATATATATATATATATATATATATATATATATAATACTTTCTACTAATGGGAAAGGACTCTCTGAGGTGCGGAATTACCACCTTGGTTCTTAGATTTACCAGTGGTATCAGACCCTTGACCTCCGGTAGAGTTTTTAAGAACGCTTGGTGGATTTCCGTTCATCTTACCAGAAGTAATTCCTCCTCGCGTCTCGTGATTATGATTTGGTCCTTGTTGATCTTGTCTATCCTGCGGCAGTATAAAAGATAATGTTCGTCTTGAGTTCTTATCCGCGCTGGACTCTGACTTTGCTCTGGCATTTTCCGCATTGCGAAAATGTTCCTGTTGATCACCTCTACCGTTTTGATTTGTTTCCTTTGAAATGTTACTTTCATTTCCCATTTGCCCCGCTTCCTTCAACTGTTCATATAAGGCTCTCTTGGCGTCATACCTCTTCGCGAAGGTGGCAAGATAACGCATGGTATCATTCATTGAAAAAGAGTTAGACTTCTCACAGAAATATTCTGGCATTGTTTCTATCTTCCTATTTAATTCAGCCACCAAACCTTCTACTCTTTCTAACGTTGGAAGAGCATTTCGGATAAACCTTCCAAGTTTCACTGGCCATTGATTTTCATCTGGAATAGCACGAACGAGTGTACCACATTTTTGTAAACGGCCCCGAAAAGCCTTCACTTCTTGTGCTACTCCCGGTAGATCAAAGTTAGAGGCCCATTCCACTGCAGGAAGAAGTTCCTCTGTACACTTGTGTACACTAGGATCCTGTTGGTCAACAATTTCTACCAGAATTTCTAGTAGAACACGTTTGTTATTAGTCGTTGGGAAATCAATAATATGTAGGAGTTGCGATATGGGAAATCCCTTAGCCCCTTGAAAACGACTGCCTGTATTCAAAACATTACTAAGTGCAAGAACAAATTGCAACATACGGGGTAAATGAGGGGATTCCATCGCTGCATTAACTCCATCCAGTGCACGTTGTAGTTTAAACTCAAGATCTTCAATTCGACCTCCAAACTCATTCATAAAGTTCCAGCAGTGTAATCGGTCAGCATAATGGTCAACTTTCATAGTCATTAAGAAAAAACGAACGGGTAAACTTAACTGATGAAGCTGTGATGTTTTCACATTAGGGTTTCGCTTCATCCAACGATCAATTGACTGAAGATCTTCAGCGGTAGGAATAATCTTAACGAGACCAGAAATGTGTTCCTCTCCAAGTGTGAGTGCATCAAAGGTACGCACACTCGCCTCAATAGTCTGTATAGGGAGTCGTAGAAACTGCAGCACGATACCAACATTACGTTCACGATTAGAGTCCAATATAACCTCTACATTCTTTTTGACTGCTGGTCCAGCCGCTCCCTTTGCCTCCACACGTTTGAACTCATCAATAAGTTCTTTGCGATACTTCTCAGGTAGCACAATAGCGCCATCAGCCTCAAATGCAGAGTTTTTAGCAACACTTCGTATAGCATCAATAGGGATATTTCGTGTTGGACCAAGCTGTGTAGGCCCCGATGTGGACTTTGGTGGAGGTGGTGGAGGTGGAGGTGGTGCTCCTTTACCGCCTATTCCTGGTAAAGGAGGTGGAGGCGGTGCTCCTTTACCGCCTATTGGTACCGGTGGAGGAGGAGGAGGAGGAGGAGGTGCGCCTTTACCACCCATTGCTGGTGGTGGAGGTGGTGGTGGCAATCCAGTTGGTGCAGGCGGTCCACTTTTAACAGCTGCTGATGATGATGGAGGAGGAGGTGGTGGTGGCAATCCAGTTGGTGCAGGCGGTCCACTTTTAACAGCTGCTGATGATGATGGAGGAGGAGGTGGTGGTGGCAATCCAGTTGGTGCAGGCGGTCCACTTTTAACAGCTGCTGATGATGATGGAGGAGGAGGTGGTGGTGGTAATCCAGTTGGTGCAGTTGGTCCACTTTTAACAGCTGCTGATGATGATGGAGGCGGTGGTGGTGGTACTCTGGCCGGTGAAGGTGATCCCATCTTCGCAGCTGCAGTAGTTGATGTTGGTGCAGTTGGTCCACTTTTAACAGCTGCTGATGATGATGGAGGCGGAGGTGGTGGTACTCTGGCCGGTGAAGGTGATCCCATCTTCGCAGGTGCAGTTGATAGTGGCTGTACTCCGGTACGTGCAGGTGAACTTGATTTTGAAACGCAAGCTGATGGGGGTGACGGTTCGAGAGATGTAAGTAGATCCTCAAATTTGCTGCTCTCTGATGAAACATTAAGCGCTGAAGCAATTGCTGCCATACATTTTGGTGATAAAGGATCAACATCATCGTCATCATCACTACGGACGTTTAATGCTTCCAGGTTCCCACGCTTCACTTCTCTCCCTATAGAAGACGGGGAGGTGAATACATTTGTGCCACTTGGCCGTGATGTTGGCATTTGTATCTTCATCCCATTGGTCGCTGTTTTTCCTGTATTCGATGTTGTGGGGAGATCTGAAAGTGATACTGTTCCTGCTAGTCTGTTGTTAGTCTCAGGGGACACTTGACTTCCAGATTGACGCCCTGAACGACAGTCCGTACTGCGTGCAGAGCTTGCTGTTCTTGCAGATTGAGGACAAGGAATGGAAGTTTTGGAGGCATCAGCAGGAGTAGCATTAGTAGTAACTGCCTCTAAGCTTGTACGAGTACTGGTACCTTTTGAATTCTGTCCCTTATCATCATCTTCGCGTGGGTTTGATATACTGACCATAGAACATCGTCGTGATGGCCTTCGCCTCTCTCTCCTGGTAAATACATTCGTTGGGGGAGGACCTATAATGATATCGATACCCTGTCGTGATACCCTCTGGGAGGGTACCTGCTGCAAATAGAGTCTTGCCTGTCCCAAATCTCCGTCAGTGAGCAGCAACGCATCTTCAATATCCCGCATTGGCCTCTCTGGAAATTCACTTTGGAGTGCCTGTGCTTTTGTAACCTCAAGCGTAGTATCCAGCCTATTCATAAAGCTCTGCAGCTCCTTCACCTGTTCATCCGACAAGGGATCTCCATCATGTGTGAGCCGAGCGGTGGAAAAACCGTTTGCCTTCTCAATCTTCAACGCAAGCTCTGAGAGAGCGATTTGGGCGTCTCCCTCGGCGCGGTTCAGTGCGAGAATCACATCCGACTCCCACGATGGTGGAAGGGCAAGAATATTCATCAGTCGCCGCACAGTGTACTTGGAGCCAAACAATAGACGAGGAATCCCCGACCCACCCCCGCGATCCCGCCGGGCGGAGGAGTAAGCCGAGGGCGAATCCCCCCGCTGCTCGCGCTCCTCCACTTCACTCTGCAGAATCGCCAGCATTAACTCCCGATCACCCTCCGCCGCAACCGCCACATCACGTACGTGGGAAGGTGTGGTATCAAAGGTGTTGCTCAGGTGTGTAATCTCCTTCGTGCTGATCACCACATACTCCGTTTCCCCATCGCGTGTACCATCGTTCTGCGGAATAACAGGGCATGAGCTCATCACGACGCTGGTAGCACCGTAGTTGTGGTTGTGGCTGTGGCGTATAGAGTTATTGCGTGCACGCAAGGAACCACGCCGTAGTTTAGTAGACGATGGGGAAATAGGTGGTAAGGTGACCCCATCTCCGGCATTCTCGCCCGCAGGCATGCTTGACGTTTTTACAGAATCTGTCTGTTGGCGTTGTCCTTGTGGTTCTTGCGATCGGGTAGGGGCATCACTGCGGGTGGGGGCAACTTCCTCACCAGTAGGCTTTTTCCCTGCAGTTGACATTGCTTTTTTACAGGAGGTTGGGAAAAAATAAGGAAAAAACCGAATATGGCGGAGAGCCCCACTCCAGTCAAAACGAATAAATATCCGAATCTAAGATGAGAAAAATAAGAAAAAGAAAAACGTAGTGTGTCAGAGAGAAAGTCACACCAGACGTTTTTTTCTCCTCCTTTTTGGGGTTTTTTTTTTATTATTCGTTCCTTCTTTATCTGTTTGTTTTCCTGTTCTACCTCCCTCTCCCTTCTCTTTTTATCTTTTTTTTTTTTTCTTTTGTCAAGGTAAAAAAAAGGGGTATCTTTTCTTTGTTTTTTCCTTTTTTTTCCCTTAATATATCCCTACACGATTGTTATTCTTGTGGTTTTCTGTGTATATTTGGTTCTTATTCTTCTCTATTAGCGACCAGAATCAAGTCGGTGCGGCTTAAATGGCTGTAGGTTTATCTTTTACCAATTGTTCGCACTCTCTCCTTTTTCTTTGTGTTGGAGAAGAATTATGAACACCTTTTTTTATTATTTTTTGGGGGAATTCTAATATTATCTCTGACTGAAATAGCGTATATTAAACAAAATAAAAATAAAATAAAGGATGGAAAAAGAGAAAAAAAAAGTATAGTTGCAATGGGCATAAATTTATATACATACATGTAAACATAGAGAGATAATACACAGGGACAATGAACATCAACCCAATTGAAAGGGTGCAACAGTATTTTTTTTTCTTTTTTATTTTGTTTTATTTTTAGTGTTCTCAGCTTATCACCAAAGGGGATAAATAAAAAAAAAGAAAAAAAAAAGAAGTATCCGTACATTATACTCTCTCCCTCTCTTTTTTCTTTTTCTTCTCCTGTATCTCTCCGTGCGTTTGCATATGCATGTTGATGTCAGTGTACATTACACCTCAGCAGACATCTTTATCTGATCTCACGAGTGTTTCCAAAAACTCCACACGAAAGCATCAGAATAAACTCCAATTCTCCATCCACATCCAAATAGGAAAATACTTCCCTTTCCTTCCCACTTTCTGCCTTCTTTACTCGCTTCTATTACAAACTTCGTCTTTTCCTTCTTTAAAAAAAAAAAAAAAAAAAACTCTGTATTTCCTCTTTTTATTGTTTCTTTTTTCTTTTTTTCCTCTTCCTCTCTTCTTTCTTTTTTTTTTTTTATTTTCCTCGATGGTTTGCATTTCCTTCACGCTATTCATTTCCCCTACATCCCGGCTACTCGAACTCACAATTTCTCACTCTTCGGCGAAAACGACATCCGTTTCAGCGTCAGCCCGGTACCGTGCAGAGACCACAGATGCTGTCATGGCCAATGTATCTAAATCCTCTCCATCCACGTACTCTAACGGGAAGGTAAGAGAAGCCTTAATACGCCACAGAGATGAAGAAGATGATGATGATGATGAGACTTCTTCATGCTGTTGTTGTTGTTGTTGCTCTGATGTCGTTTTATCTTCTCTCTCTTCATTGCCGTTGTTGTCTGCGAGAGACTCCGGAGTGACAACGGAGATTGCCATCAACCGCTCTGACCCATCGTTCTTTCCCTGATGTCGTAATACACATAATACCCACCATGGTCCAAGTAATTTATTACGACTCTGATATGATGTTAATTGCTCACTTGCTGTAGAGGAAGTGAAAGAAGAGACTAAAGGGGATGTACAGGTAATACATCCCTCTACATGAACGACAAAAGTGTGTCCAGTATCCATAAGTGCTATTGTTCCATTAGCCGTCATGGATGTCACTCGAGGAATAGAGAGAGACTCTGTGCATAGTCTTTTCACAAGTGTAGCTCCTGCAGTGGCATCTGTTACTACACCGTACTCCACCAGTTTTTTTGTTAATTTCACCCATACAGCCTCTGCGGCAGCACCTTGTGAAGATAACTCTTGTAATCGTTCAAGTGACCAAGATACACCTTCTTCATCTTTTGTATTCAATACCTGACGTAATGTTGTTGTTTCTTGTACACAAGGTAATTGCATAAGTGCATCATCACATCCCCAAACACGTCTCTCAATATGTGATGCCAGACGCATTAAATAACGTGCTTGTCTCCATTGTGTGGTATTATCAAATATCTCACATGCTCCTCGTACCACATCTAATACTGCTGGAAGTAGTGCATAAAGATCTGCACGTAATTGTTCCGCTACATCATATGGAATATCAAGAAGAAGTTGAGGATCCACCGCAGCTGAAGATGGTGAAGCCAATGGATGTATTATAGCCGTAACAGATTCATTCCTAGTCTCATATTTCTTTAGATGTTCTTCACTAATGAACATACGTGCACAGTGAGCCAAAATAAGTAGTAACACCTTTGTGTAACCTTTGGAAAAGTCCAAATCTACGTATCGCACATCATACCCAGCGGGAAATGCACGTGCTATTGTCTGTAATGCCTGTAACTCTGCGGTATCTGTTATGCGTGCAGCGTCTCCCACATACGGTGGTGTTAACTCCACACAAGATGATGCCACAAGACGCCACATATCCGCCACTGAAGATAATGTGGATGAGGCCAGAGTTCCTGTTGTTGAGGTACGACCCTCATCTCCACTTCCACCAATAGAATTAGTAGAAGAAGAAGCAGCAGCGGCAGTGGCAATAGTCTCAACAGACACTACGGACATGCCGTATTGTGCGGCCGCCGATCCTCGTGGTGTAGGTCGTATAGTTTCTCCTTCATCTCCCCTGATATTATTATTATTATTATTATTATTATTATTATCATTATTATCATCATTGTTATTATGGTCTATCACGGCGACACAACCGGCTTGTTGCAGTGCGGCAATCACTACACGTGCGAACTCAGACGCATACGCCGGAATATCCTCCCGTGTTGGTACCCCATAAAAGTGCAGATTTGTACGTAGATGAAATAAAAAGTAATGACTCTGCAATACACGCAAAGCACTTGGCATATCTGTCACTCGTCCCTGTGCGACGGCGGCGTTCAACGCATCGCGGAAGTCATCTGGATACCGCAAGTACGACTCCAGTGGAAGTGGATCATTCAATAATTTCCCCCACACCCACCGCCGGGCCGCTCGGCAGTACACCACCGCCTCACTTAATGCCCGCGATGTCATCTGCAGCAACTCCGACACACTGCAGTCTGTGCAGGAGGCCCCACCCGCATCCTCCGCCGTGGAGGTGCGAGAAGAGAAGGCCGCCGATGTACGCTCCGCCGCACACACAAAAGCCGTGCCGAAGAGAGCAGCGGGTAAACGCCATGCAGCTTCAAATGTACAAATTAATATTAATGGAAGTACGGCTTCACTCTCTGGATGTCGTGAGGGGTTCTCCACACGATCAAGAATAAAGAGTTCATCAAGGAAGGATGTTCCACGGTGCATGTACGCAATACCAGCAGAAAGTAAAAGAGAAAGATTTCGGTCCTCTACTTCATCAATATAAGTAGTGGGAACAAAATCACGACATCTAAGAAGAACACGTTTAGCGAGTTCCTCCGCATCTCGAGCAGAAGGCACAAACACCACACTTGGTGTTGATGCATAACGATCTCTTTGTAATAACTTAATGGCGGATACGGTTGCGGCCTCATAACGATTACGAGCTCCACCGTGATCTACAGCTTCTAATCGTACACGTAACTGACGGTATGAATTACCGTAATTATATTGTCGTGATTGTGGTATTTTCATCCATCGTGATACCTCTGTACAACTTATTAATGGATATGAAAGAGCAAGGAGACGTGCGGGTTGTTTTCCATTATTTACCAAATATGGCTTTGATTGTAATCGTGCAATACATTCCTCCATCCATCTTCCTTCTGGTGCACGTATGAGATGTATATGATCAACAATAATATGGGTGACACCAGCCAGACAATTATTGCCTCCACGACGTAATAAAGGAAGTAGACTTCCACCACTGGCAATAATAATAGTAGCGTGTCGTACTTTTTCTTCCTTTGCTTCTAATCCTTCACCAAAAGGTTCCAGTTTCACCACTCGTTGTTTTAGACCTTCACCAAATTTATATCGCCATTCATGCAGGCGACGCGTTGCAGAGGCATCATGTGCAGTAAGATATAATAATTTGCGTTTCGTTGCAGGTATGATTCCATCTTCTGTCTGTTCCTCTTCAGTAATAAGAGTATTATGACTATTATTATTATTATTATTATTATTATTATTATTATTATTATTATCAGTACCAATAGTACTAGTACTCGTCTCTGTTTGAAGTAACGCACACTCCAGCAAAAACTGTAGAATAAATAATTCAGCAATCGTTGTACGTCCACCACCAGGAGGAATGGCTACAAAAATGTTTTCTGTAGGATTCTCCATAATAGGCACAACAAGATCATATTGAGTGGGAAAGAATTCTGTGAATGGAAATACTTTTTCTGCAGCTGCTTCTAAACCATACGGCTGCAGTGTTGCCGATACATCCCGCATACCTTCATCATCTTCCAATGAAGGAGGACGTAGATGGACTTCCAACAAGGGTGGTGCTACATCTGGTAAACGTACATTCATCAAACAAACCGCAACAGAACATTCCGCACCAAGCCAATGTAAAGACTGACAACGTACAAAATAATGTGTAGGTTTGGGTTCAACAATTGGAACAACAATAGTAGGTGCAGAAAAGGTTGCATTTCTGCGTAAAACTTCACCTGTTAAATATACTCGTTCATGATGTAAAATACGACCATTAGTGTGTTCAATCGTAAGTAGAAGTTCACCAGCCGTTCGACTATGTAAAGTTTCATTAAATGTAAACTCTGGAGTGATGTCAACATCTACATACAACATATTACGCGTAAGAGGACGTACAGAAGCTTCTAAAACATAATGTGGTACTTGATGAATAGAATCATAAGCTAATTCTGCACGTCTTTCATCCCCAAGTTTCTCAGAAAGATCTTCTAATGACCAATCACGTACTTCATCCCATGAAACTCGTCGACCTTCAAGGGCGTGAATAAAAGTTGCAAAATTCTTCGCTGTTACCATATGCCGTAATTGACGTACAGGTGATTGAACGGCCCATTGTTGATGAACCACCATTAAACATAATTGTAATACTTGCATAGCAGTACGACCATATTCACGTACAAGACAAGTCTCATGAAGAGCACGAAGAATACGTTGGGCAGAGTCTTTTACATAAACCAGTTCACTCATCAATGGTAAACCTTGTAAACTCATATCACTAATAAAACACTGAAGTAATATGTTAATTTTAGCTAAAGGTGTATAACGACTTTCACGTACAGCTATAGGAGCATTTTCTAATAAATACTGTAATTGTGCCTGTTCTTCTGGTCGAACGGTAATGTGTGAAAATTCCTTAGACATGGAAAAAAGACGAAACAGATCGACATCATGCATAGTACTGGAAAGATGTGTGAGATATGTAGCCATAGAAGATGCTGTTACATAATAGAAAGAGGCAATTCGACCAAATGGTGTTGGAGCAATTCGTCTGGCATTCATATCGTAATCCACCATCTGTGCACGGCGAAGATCCTCTGCAGCGGTATGCACAATATTCTCCAAGTGTCGAAGAAAGAGTGGATCGGCATCATTTGCACGAGTTCCATACAATTCCGGTGTACGCCGCATACGTACATACATGTATGTTCGCTGCAGCCATCGTACTCCTTCTGCTGTACTTTCAATATGTCCCAACACAATCTCAGCATTCAACATATCCACAAGTCTTCCCATTAATTGAGATTCTATTGGCAGTTGCTGGTTCAGCACGGCGAGATAGTATTGTAGATCATCCACTCCAGTGATCACAGCTGCACGGCCAAGCGATGAACCAAATCCAACACGACCCGCACGACCAAACATCTGCAGTACATCTAATGCACTCAATAACTCAGTTTCCCCCTTCGCCCCATTAAAAACACGTGTGCCTTTAATAACCACTTGATTAGCTGGTAGATTTACACCCCATGCAAGTGTAGAAGTACACACCAATACCCGCACATGTCGCTCAGCGAAAAGGGATTCCACCACCTCACGCTCCTCACGACTCATCCCAGCATGATGAATTGCAAAACCCATGGGAAGCATCTGTTGAAGACTTGAACGGAGAAGATGTGTAGATGTATTTGCCGCCTCACGTAAGGTCTGTTCAGATTCACTACCAGAACGTACAAAATAATGTGTTCGCTTTTCCTCTACGACTCGTCGCATCATATACATAGCGGTATATTCCGTATCTTTACGAGAATGAACAAATACCATTGTTTGTTCACCATTTATTGCCGCTTGTAATACCTTATCATACGCTACAAGATTCATTACAGCTGCTTGATTCGTTCCACGTACTTTTTTAATAGCACAAAATGATTGTTGTAGTGGAATAGGACGAAATGAACTGTCAAAAACAAATAAACCACGTTGTCTATCAACCTGTAGAAAACTTGCAACATCTACATAGTTAGGTAGTGTAGCACTAAGTCCTACTATACGAACATTTGCCTCACCACGTAATTGTTGTTGTAACATCGTTCTAGCTACAATAGCCTCTAAAACAGGACCACGTTCATTATGAAGTAAATGAACTTCATCAAGAATTAAAAGTTTTAATAAGGAGGCCACACCAAGTTCAACAGATTTACGTGTCACTACATCCCATTTCTCAGGAGTTGTGACGATAAGTTGTGCATCGTATAGTTGTGCCTGATTTACATTAGAATCACCAGAAAGTTCAACAACTGTAAGTCCAAGTGGTTCAAATCGTTTTGAAAAGGTACGTACCACTTCTTGTACTAATGCTTTCATTGGTGCAACATAAACCATCTTTAAATCACGTAATTTAATATTACCACTTCGTGTAGTAGCATTAGCAATAGCTCTAAGCATAGTCATCATGGCTACATTTGTCTTTCCTGCTCCAGTTGGAGCACATACTAACATATTTTCATCACTCTTAAAAGCGCATTCATACACCTTAGATTGCATTGGATTAAGCTGTGTAACACCAGGAAATACCACTTGTGCCCATTCGGGGAAATTCGTCAGTGGAATACACGGCAACTCCCCAGTAGCAGAAGCTGTGGGTGGTAATATCACTTCATCATGGGTCTCAAACACTGCTCGTTGAGTTCCTTGAGGTACAACCGCTCGAGTGTGTTGATGTGGAGTACGTTCATCCTTAAATGCATATGCCTGCAGATCCACACGTCTAAGTGGTTTCTTCATATCTTTACTATTAACCCCATCACCAACCTCCGTGCGTAGACCAATTTCTTTACCCGTTACACTTTGATAAAGCCGCTCCACTGTACGATCCTCTTGGGCATGTGTCTTCATCGCATCCATCACGGCATTCTTCGCCTCTTGATTGTGTCCCTCTGCAAATCGCAATCCATACACAATAGCCCAGCGAGAGGAGGCAACTATACCAATCCATTCCATCACCGCCTCATCATCGTAGCCACCGAGAAATGCAGTGAGTTGTGTCTCAAGAGTGAGTTGATCCACCTGTTGCTGAGCGGCATATTGTAAAACACGTGCTGCTTGTAGTTCACATTCCTCTATTGTTTGTGTGGGAAACAGACGGCGTAAAGAGTCTCGCACATAGTTGGGATTACATGCTACCTCTTCAAAGGTAACACGTTTTACACGTCCAGCTGCGTTGTTATTATTATTGTTATCATCCTCGTCATTATCGTCGTCGTCATCGTCGCCATTTCCATCTCCAATAATATCAACATCCGCTGCAAATTTCATCAAATCCATCCTATTATCTCGTATACCGTTTATATTCTCATCCTCATCATCATCCGAGTCAGATGATATTTCTCCCTGTTGATGTTTCTGTTTATGTTGCTGATTCTCTTCCTGCATCAGTAAGAGTCCACCAAGACCATCATTCCCCTCCACACCATTGTTGTCCATGCGGTGATGATTCCCAACATCCTCCGCCACTACAAAGTCATCAATTAAACGACCATACTGCAGCACCTCATGAAGAGCCTCCGCACTCAGCGGCGTGTCAAAGAGTAACTCCAATTGTTTTTTAAGCTGCTGCAAGTGCATAGAACCAGAAGCAGCAGCAGCACTACCACCACTACCACCACCACCAGAACGACACACAATAGATAACGTCTCTTCTGCGATTTCACCTAAATCATCATCAAGTCCAGGTGGTAACCAGCGACGCAAGTCACGCAAGAATCGTTCATAATGCACTCTTGTTTGCTCTGAGTGCGGCACGTAATGCGCTGCAGCAGACATCACGTTGTATTTGTGTGTCTGTTTATTTCTTTGTTTGTTTGTTCTTTTTTGTTTTTAGTAGATCTATCTACCTTTATATATATAAATATATATATATATATATATATATATGTGTGTGTGCTTATGAACGTTTGTGTGTGCGTGTGTGTTTGACCGTTTCCTTCTTAGTGGGTGCGGGTGTGTATGTGTCCTTTCCTCAATCAGGACCAATTATTCCTAGAAGAGAGATATTAGAGAATGAAAGAAAAGACATAAAATATGTATAATCAAATATTAGACTATAGAGAGTCCTGTTAATATATTATTTTTTTTTTTATCTTTGAAGGTTGAAAAAATAAAAGAAAAACATGAGATGCATCAAATTTTCCAACCACAAAAGGGTGGAATAAGGCACAATAACGGAGAAAATGGAATGTGGAAGGTTTAAATTACTGATAGCTCTTTTAGATATCAGAATATCAGAAGAAATCAAAGCAAAGATATAAACAAGAAAAGAAAAGAAGTAAAAAAAAAAAAACAAAGTGCCCTTCCACTGCAATAGCAGCATATCTACTAAAACAAAAAGTGGTAGTTCACCCTATATAATGCAAAACTCTTTTTTTTACCCCTTTTTCACTTATTTTTTCTCTCAGACCCTTTTTTAGAAATATTAACCTTTCGATCCCCATCTTCACCAAGCGGCTGAAGAAGAAGCCATTGCAGTAGACTACCCTTCTCGTGTACAATCCATTGGGAAAATCCAATACAGAAGATACTCCACAACATTAATAATTTGCTGGGGAACAATATACAGTATAAAACAGGAATAATCCAGAAAGCCAATACACCTATGAATCCACGCCATAATCCCATATCTCGAATAAATCGTGAGAATTTTGTGCTTCCAGGGTGTTTAGCCGCATCTTCATCCTGATCGTACGTAAAAACTTTACACTGTTCTCCAAAAACACTTCGTGCCTGATGTGCTTCAAACCCTACTGGATTATTTGCATAGAATTGAGAGAGTAGAATCTCTTTTTTAGCGAAACGGTCGTTAAGCCAATCATGCATTTCATTATCAGATGCAGGCACAGCGCTCAGTCCATCTTGAGAAGCTTGACCTTTCTTATCTTGTTCCTCTAGCTTTAATTCCATATAATGTCTTGTACATAATATATGAACCTTTTTCGGCATACGTCCATTGATGACACTTAATTCCTGTGGTCTTTCTCCTGGTATAAAGTCTGTGTATCCCATTGTCACATCAACGATCTCTTCAATATTCTCAACACCAATCATATTTTTCATGGCCAACAATCCAGTGGAACGTGGATTTAACACATGATGAAATATCGGAAGACCTTTCTCTGCTGCGTATGCGTTTGATTTCTCAATATTGCTCTTGGAGAGATCGGTTCCCTCAGGAAACAATAAAATAGTAGCACCACCACTGGATTTGTAGAATGCAATCATTTCTCGCATTCTTTCTTCATCCTTATCCCACTTTCGAGAAAGAAATATATAGCGGAAAAACTGCATGGACCATCCATAAATAGGAACGCGACTTAATTCAGCTTTTAGTACAATACGTAGTGTGCGTGAACCGCCAGCACGGGTAAGAAAAGGAAATAACACCAACCAGTCAATACGGCAACGATGATTCATAATAATAATTTTAAACTTCCCCTTCTGTGTGGGAGGACCAAAAACATCTTCTAATCGAGGTGGAGTATCTTTTGCTCCGCAGACTACAGTGAATGCAAGGCGCAGCTGTAGCACACATTCAAGGAGAATGGATACAAGTCCAGTCCACATATCCTGCACGGTGTCATACCAGAAATTAAAAAAATGAACGAGACCAACGGGTCTTTTATGCAATAAAACGCGGGCCGCTGCGAGTAGTACCACGGGAGGAAATGCGAGGACAAATCCGCAAACACCACAGACTGTCAACACCAGCAAAAACACAAAACCAGAGAAAGATAACCCTCCCATCGCTTAATCCCAAGAGGAGATAGCAATAATTACTGCAATCGTAACGTCAACACTACAAAATAAACTTCACAATGGTAATGACTTTAGTAATAGTACTAATGATAATAATGGTTTGTGTTTGTGGTTCTTGTTACTGTTGTTGGTATTGCTGTCGTACTTAAAGTGTATCCGCTAGATGGTACTAAAGACAACAAGATAAAAAAAAAAAAACTTCAAATAAACTTTCAACAAGAAGAGCAAAGGAAAGAGATAAAAGAAAAGAACGAAATACCACAAAAACATTACAAGAAACAAAAAAAACTTGTGCACACATATCGAATTTGGAACAACAAGAAAAACAAAAAAAAAACAATGACATTTACGAACTATCACATATTTTTTTTTTCACCTACTCAATCGATAGGTAAAAAGAAAATGTTGTATACATAGGAATCGCCATCACAACAAATCTCTGACACAAACATACACCACAACACCAGAGTAATACAAATAAACATATATATATGGAAACAAATTCAAAAACAAGAACCACCAAAGACAAAACAGATGATTCTAGGTACTCTACTGTACACAGTAAGTCTTTAACAGCTTTGCCTCAACGTCATGCTCTATCCTTTGTCGCTGCTCCTCTTCCTTTACCTCAACCTCATGGGACTTGAGGGCCTGCACACCATCCTGTACGTGGCGCTCCATGGCTGCCAAGCACTCTGGTTCCACACCACTACCACGGGCGTCGAAAAAGCGCAACGTGGTATTCTCCCGCAGTGCCTGTAACAGCAGTTCGCTCGTGTGCACACCCAGTGCCTTATTGCCGGCAATGTTCAACGAAAGCAACGTCCGCTGCTTTGGCAGAACATCCGCGAGTGCTCGCGCAGTCGCGTCACCCAGAACGTTGTGTGAGAGGTCAACCACCTCCAGTGTGCTGTGAGACGCCAACCCATTAACAAGGGCAACGCCACCAGACTCGTCAGGAATGCGATTGAGGCGAAGATTCAGCACACGCAGCGTAGTGTTCATCGTCAATGCCTCACCAAGCGCCACCGCCCCCTCCCCACGGATGTGGTTGTCATGCAAGTACAGTTCTTCGAGTGGCAGGTCTGGCTTGCACAGCAGAAGTGCGAGCTGCTGCGCCCCATCGTCGTCAATGCGGTTCGACGATAGATCAAGAACTGTGATGGTTGTGTTGCGCACGAGGCCGCCAAGGATTTTCTTCAGCAGCGGGCTGTTCAGACGATTGTTGGGGAGTCCCAGGGAGCGCAGCTTCGGGTAACGGTTGAGTGCATGCCGCACATTTAACGCGTCGGCCTCGCCAAATCCAATCATCCACCCGTCGAAGTCGGTCCCAACATTATTGACACCAAACGTGAGGCGCAGGTGCAAGAGATGCGGCAGGCGCGAGAGCAGGTGCTCGTACAGATCAAACCGCGTAACCTGGCATGGTAGCTCGAGGTCGTACACATAGTCCCTGCACATGGAACAGAGCCGATCGAGCTCCTGCCCCTCCTCATCGTCAATCTCGGGCGAGCGCAGGCCGCTCAGAAAGTCGCTAAGCACGTGCTCAAGATAAAACTGTTTCCATCCGCCATTCTCCGGCGGCACAAGCCTCCCACATGTCCGCTCACTCAACTGCCCAAATGACCACCGCGCTTCACAGCAGCGGCGCCAGTATGAGTCGTAGGTAACACGTGGAACGCTCACAGACAGGGGGATATCCGTTGGAAGCCTCTCAATCACCATGTCATACAGCTTCCGGTGAGACTCATGCAAAGAATCTGCAGCAGTGAGAGTAGCAAAGTTACCCGCAATAACATCAGCACACAGTGACACCAGTGTCGGCACAAAGTACGACTTCTGAGCTTGGTGCTCTGTGACAGTTGAGTGCAGAGTACTTTCCAGGTCACGTATGTGCTCCTGCAGCCGGACCTGGTGAAATTCACTTCGCTGCACAGGCCTCTTCGGCGGCATCTCTTCTATACCTTCACAGCAACAAAAAAAAAAACGAACTATCAAACCGTCAACGCACTGTGACACTCCTTCCTTATAACTAGCACCAAGAAGAAATATGAGCACCCACAAGCAGAACGGACAAAAGCACAGAAAGCTCAAAGACACAAGATCACAGAAATAAATGCCTTTCAAAGAAAAAAAAAATGCAATCCCAGAACATTTTCCCAGGTAAACCACCTGTTGTTCTATCCGCTACAAGTCAATCACACCCCTCCATAAACATAAAAAAAACAAGAAAAATAAAACCTTTCTTTTCCCTTTTTGTTCCACGTACGAACATACGCCATCTACTAGCGCACAAGTGCACTCTTGTCCACTGTGAACTCCAGAGTGTCATTGCCGTGGGAGAGCGTTAATGTACCACCTTCACGTTTCACATGCATTCCGCCCTCAAAGCCCTGACCAAAGGCACGTTCCACATCCATTTCAAAAGGGGGTCCCATCATCATCGTTGACATAAGCATTCCAGTTAGTTTCCCGTCTTTGTAACTCAGAACCCCGTTCATCGAGTTCGCCACCTTTGCCGATACACGCAACTTGTCTCCCTCGCTTTCAAACTGCAGTGTTGGGGCATTCCCTTCACTCTTTCCAACCTCCTTGCCGTTCATACGGGTAAGCACGTACTTCCCAACAAAAGCATTTACGTTGTTATCGGTCATAGTGTTTTTAGATCTTTATATTTTTTTCAATTATTGCTTTGAAGCTGAATACTATTTTATGTAAAAAAAAAAAAAGGGAAAAAAAGAAAACGGCACAAGACGTCTTATGCAGCAGCAGCAGCAAATAAGAAAGCAAGCAAGCAAACAAAAATGGCCCCAGGTGCCATCAGACCGTTTCAGGGCGCATTAGGCATGGTGTCCCCAGCTGTACGTGAAGTGTGAAGATACATGCAAAAGAAATAGTGGGAAGTACCACAATTAAATGAGGCAGCAAACCCACGCACATTAGCAACTAGCAAGATCCCCTACCCTACCCTACTCACTTTCCCCCTCACTTTCACAGAGGCGACACTCCTTTCATCATGACAGTGTCTATACGGGCAGCGCGTCGTACGAGCATTTGTACCCGTTCACGTATCCCACAATGAACATCTCTGTGGCACCAGGTGCCACTGTCACCTCGGCTATCTGATGGCCACCATCGCTCACAGTGATGCGCGTGTTGCCAAGACCCTCTACTTTTGACCGAGTGCCAAACACCACCTTCACACGCATCTTGTACTTCTTTGTATCATTGTAGAACGCCCACTTTCTCTCAGCAGCGTTGATGATGCGAAACATCAGACCGTTGCCGTGGCCCTTGAAGCACTGCGCCACATTTTCACCCAGGTACGCTGGTTTCCCATTCTCGTATGGTACAGCAGCCACCTTCGTGTACACAAGCGTGTTGTCGCCGCATGTCAACGTCAGCTCTCCAGCGTCAACGCAGCAGAGAAACCCAGTATTGAAACCGCTAGTCAGCGCGCCCTCCACAAGCATCTCCGCCTCGCTCCCCATCATCCTTGTTGACATCAGCATCCCCTTCAGTGTGTCCCTCAGCAGTGTGGCCTTCCCACGCAGAGTGTTCGATACCTTTGCGAGCACATCTATCCCATCCGCCTCTGCATCATGGGAAAGAAGAAGTGTTATTTGCTCATCCGATTCCACAGGACCGCCATTGAGACTCTTCAACACGTACTCCCCAGCGAGATCGTCTGGCACCAGCAAGCGCAAATACAGGTAGACATTGTGATCATCTTTTAGGGTGAGATGCTTCCCATCGAGAGACACGTACATGCCGTTCTCCATTCCCGCACGGAACCTCTCCTCCATCTCCTTCATCATACCTCCCACTTCATTCATCGTAGAGGCGACTGCGCCCTTCAGTATGCCATCATCAAGACTCAGCTCACCCCGAAGCGAGTTGGTGAACTGGGCGATCATAGATATGCAACCCTTACCACTGGGGACAAAAGCCAGTTTCAAACTGTCAAGGGATACATGTTCTCCGTTGAATGCACTGAGCATGTACTCGCCAACAAGCATCTCTACACAAACGTCGCGCTCGAAGACGAGGGTGTTTTGCTCCGTCGTCAACGTCAGCGTGTAATCAACCAAGTGCACAGAAAACCCAGCTTGGAATCCCTCCGTTAGGGCCGTCTCTATCTTCATCTGTTCTTCGCTCCCCATCATCATCGTAGACATTAGGGGTCCACTCAGTTTGCCTTTCTCGAAGCTTAATGAGCCTCGCAACGTGTTCGCAACCCTGATAATTGCCTCGACGCAGTCAACACCTTTCTTCAGTACAAGGGTTGCCCTTGTAGCGCACAGTTCATTGTTGAGGCGATCGAGGTGGTAATTCCCAAAGAAATCACACGCTTCCATTATGAAATCCTCTATCTCTACTAAATGTGCAATGTATTAGACAAACGGAAAAGCAAGTACCACAGGATATTAAGGCTACTAGATCCCAGTCATCATATCTCTTGCAAAACAGTTCGAGCAAACATACTCGCTCAAAAGCCATCACAAAAAAAAAAAAAAAAAATCTTACGAAATTTCCATCATAACATTTACATAACGATCAAGAAAACGAAAGGAGCACACGGGTTCATCGGTGTGAAATCACGCCTCCCACAGTACTCAACCACGAGTGGCGGGATCCAAGGAGAGGCCTTCCCGCAAAGGCCAAAACAACTACAAGGGCAGTTGCTGCAACAGCAGCCCCAACAAGGGCGGTAGCAGAAGCAGAATTGGATTTCACGGGAGCCGCAGCAATCTTGCAGCGTCGCCGAATCCCTTGAATGCGCTCATTAATAATGGGGAACATCTTGTCAGAATAAGCATCATATGGGTCCAGAGAAGCCACAGCGACACGTACTGTCTTGAAGACAGGAAGAGGCATCGCGTGTTGTTCCGTCTCATTTGTGGTGTCAAGCTGTCCAAGCGCACACACCTCACCCCACGTGAAATGCCACGAGAATGGAAGGTTTGGCGAGAGAGGACGAATGTCGAGCACCACAAACCTCAGCAATGAAGAATCGCCTGTGCTCGAAGAAGTAACCGCAGTACCATCAATTTGCACAGCAAGCAACACCACAACATTCTTGCACACAGAAAGAAAATTTCCTATCTGTTCATTCAAGCTTTCGAACACATCAACTATACGTCTCTCCATCTCCTGTTGGGAATTGGCCCCATAGGGCCCAAACAAGGAAGACAGCAAGTTGGCGTGTGCACCAATAGATTCCACCCCCCGCAGCTGCCCAGAGAAGAAAAACCCACGGAAAACAGCGGAACGCTGCAAACGAGTGTGATGAACAATTGTCAACGTGTCGTAACCATCACCCAGTAACCCAAGTGCATTCCCTTCTGTCTCACCAGCCGAATTCCAGAGTAACTGCAAACGATCTTCACTTAGTAGAGAGCGCATAAGAACGGCATCAAACCAGCGCACGAGAATATCCTCTGCCCTAGTCCCTTCATCGTAACCCACCATCATATCAAGTTCCGTCTCTGTGAAATCGCTACAGTCAGACGCTCCCCAAGGTGTGTACAAAAACCCATTCACAAACAGCACACAAGAAAAAGGATCCGGCACGCTGCGAAGAATGGACTCACAAAGCAAGTCGAATTGCACTCGAGCTGCCTTTTTGGGTGGGCGCCACCCTAAAAGTACATCGCACACATCGCCATACTCTCTAAGGTTTAAAAAAGCATCTGGCTTCCCATCACATAATAGGCTAAAGCAATCAGTTGGGCACACCTGAGTCTTTTTCGCGCTCAAGGAGAGACACCCTGTCGTTTGTCCCGAACGCCCCTCATTCTCCCCTTCTGTATGGCATTGAGAAAACTCTACATACCGGACATTCCGAAGCGCTCTCATCTCTGCATTCAAAACACCAAACATAATTTTCTGAAGTGCTTCATCCTCAGCAACATCACGCTGCACAAAACCAGTCACATCTTTCTCCAACATCTTTGTTTTCTCGGTACACTCATGCAACAGTTTCTGTATACTACACGCCTCACTGTACATAGCACGCGCATAGGCTGCCACATCATCACAATCCTTGTTTCCCTCCCCATCCACTTCTCCAGCTGGCACAGTGACCGCAGCCATCACAACACCCTTGGTATGCACTAAAAAACATATATTTAAAAAAGCAAAGCAATAATAAAAAAAATACACAACGGTAAAAAAATTAATTCAGGCACAACAAACGCAAGAAAGGAATAGGAAACTATAAAACATTGCCTACAATCAATTCCACAAAATAAAAATAAAAACATGACCTCTCCCAAGCAGTAAAAATAAAACAAGAAAAATAAAACCTTTCCTTTCCCTTTTTGTTCCACGTACGAACATACGCCATCTACTAGCGCACAAGTAGAATCTTCGCCACTGTGAACTCCAGAGTGTCATTGCCGTGGGAGAGCGTTAATGTACCACCTTCACGTTTCACATGCATTCCGGCCTCAAAACCCTGACCAAGGGCACGTTCCACATCCATTTGAAAAGGGGGTCCCATCATTCGTGTTGACATAAGCATTCCAGTTAGTTTCCCGTTTTTGTAACTCAGAACCCCGTTCATCGAGTTCGCCACCTTTGCCGATACACGCAACTTGTCTCCCTCGCTTTCAAACTGCAGTGTTGGGGCATTCCCTTCACTCTTTCCAACCTCCTTGCCGTTCATACGGGTAAGCACGTACTTCCCAACAAAAACGTTTGCGTTGTTGTCGGTCATAGTGTTTTGGATCGTAATATTATATATTTATATATACTTTTTTATATGTATAAATGTATATATAAAAAAATATATATTTTTATGTAGCTGTATAGACTTTTTTATGCTTTTATTATGATAGTAAACTTGTTATGTGAAAAAATAGAAGAAGGGGTCTCACTATGTAATTGATAGTGCTAATATTTATGCATTTCGTCAATAATTTCAAAAGCAGCTGATATCCTTTTAATGGATTTTGTTGTGCGGAGTGATAAAGTGGTTAAATGAAATGCACTGTGAAAGACATGTATTATAGAGATTTAAAAAAAAACCATTGGTAAAGTACTGTTAAAACAGACGAAGAGAATGGATCTCATGATGTACCTCTGTCTGTGGTGATATTTGAAGAATACCTAAACCGATTTGCAGACCTCTTTTTTAAAGCATGAAGGAGAACTTGTATAATATTTAAAGTCCAAGCACAAAGACAGAATATTTTCCAATAAAAAAAAAACAAGCTCTTGTTTATATGCAACATTCATGGGAGGAAGGTTAGCCTCTACCTGGAACGAAGATTGTGTGGTACATCGCAAAAACGCCGGTTGCACGAGCACCCTTATTTTTCCTATAGGCAGACATGGGCGGTAGCAAAAACGAAGGTGCGAGGGAAAAGTGAACACAAGAGCAATACCCAGAGACACAACCCGCGGGCGGCGGCCCACCCATTGAACAGCGCGGCGGCGCGGAAAAAGACCGACCGCGCCAACATTTCAGAGCCCGATCGCCTCCGTACCCGTTTCGGCGGCCCGCCCGGATCCGATGGAAGCAGGGAGAATCGAGAGGGTCGAGAAACCGGCGCCAGCTCCTGCCACCGGCGGGGGCGGGGTGCGGGGGGTTTGTGACCGTTTTTTCTTGGTTCCCCGTACTTTTGCGAAACGCGTGGCCTTGTGTCTTTTGGGGTTGGCTGGAATGGGCGTTGCTGTTTTATTTCGCCGGCCGGGGTTGCGTCGCGGGGCGCCACTTTTGTTATTATTATTATTGTTATTATTATTATTATTATTATTATTATTATTATTATATTTATTTATTGAAAGCCGGCGAACGCTGATACTTCCCGCACATTGCCAGGGATCGTCTGAAGAAAAAAACCTTGAGATTTTTTTTTTTTAAGCAGCCAACGTCTGTAGAAGGTTGGGAGTCCCTCTTGTACCCATGGGAGGATTTAATTTTAAGATCTCTCCCAATAAAGAGGATATAGAGAAAGTACTTGTATTTCTCTTCTCCTTCCCTTCTTTGTTTTCGGTTTTTTTGTTTTTTTTTTTTATGGAAGGGAAAGGCATGTAACGTTATGTCCTCCATTTTTTTTTTCTGTAGGGATTTTACGTTATTGCACTGAATATTTTTTTTTTTTTACTTTTCTTAAGAGAGGTATTGCAGTTTTTGTTTTTATGTTTTTTTTTTTTTTTTTTTTTTTTTTTTTTTTTTTTTTTTTTTT